AAAATGCTGGACTGAAGATTCGCCATTATAGATTTTTATTAAGGAATACTGGTGATTCAGAAATATACTCCCAGTGAATTTAAGCAACGACGTCAATCTTGACAAAAATACGTTAGCCTCATCACTAATTTCTCTATGATTGTGATTTAGAAGAGGCCTAGTTTGCCTTTCGAGTCCAACCCATCATATGGCCTACAGGCTACAGCAACTCTGTAATGGAGTCGCAACATATTATTACGATGACGAACACCAGATTTCAAATACGGCAAGTAAAGGTGATGAGACCAGGGTGAAGTTTATTTTGGATGAGATAACCCAAAGGGAATCCAGGCTAAGCGAAATTTAATTTCATTGTGAGGTCAATTCACACAATTACAGCAAAGCTCTACTATCAGTTCCTATATCAGCTTGAGTTACCTAGGTTCTTATTGCCAGATTACTGATATTTTAGAAAAATTCATCTATCAATATCAACCTGAAAAATAGTCAAATCAGAAGTGAATGAGTGTCGGATTTTCAAAAATTACCCATGAAACTGTATTGACATGAAAGCATATCATGAGCTATCTGAAGCTAAGCGGCTTGCATAAATCGCAATTAATAGAGGCCTCAATAAAGTAGAAAAAAATTGCTCTATCGTTTGCTCTGCTGGATGTGAGTCTGAGTCATATTCGCCAATGGGCAGGCACTTGGCCACCAAACCAAATATTCATAACGAATATAATTAAGAGTAAAGAAAGTCCCTATCGACGATAGGAGTAGATGTAGGAAAGGAGTATTCTACTTGGGCAATAAACTCAGCCTACACAAATGACCCAAATTACTATCTATAGATTAAAGTTGTTTACTCAATAATTTCATTTTCCGTGACAATTTGCTCAAAGTTTTGTAAATTCAAGAGTGGTTCTGCTTACTTTGAGAATGAGACCTAGACGAGACCGGAAAAGGAATAATAAAGCGTTTTTCTGACACAAGGAGAAATAAAATTCCGCAATTCAATCTCCTGTTTCAGGAAGTCAAAAGTAGCTCAACTATTCGGCACCAGTAGAGCCTGCGGCCAATGACTTATGCTCCCCCGAATCCCTTCCATGTTTATACTTAGTTAGTTATGGACAGTCTGTTTTTTGAAAGTTATGGTGAGGCCATGAACGCTATTTTGTTAATTAATCTCTTGTCCTGCCAGAAAGTAATTGCAGGAGCACGAGCTGCGGAAGATGGTGCTAATATTTTGGCCACTTTTCTCGGCTTAGTGTTTTTGGTGATTTTTTCGTGAATAATGGCTTATGGCTCCGGCGATGTCCGTTACATGACGAATGAAAGCTTCAGCACGGGGTCATCGGAGTTGTAGGACGGTGAGCCGAAGTTTCTTTCGCACAGTTCAATAGATAAAAGTCCAAGGCAACCCTCCTACGGTATCTGTTGTGGCCAATCTACGAATCCCCTCGATCCGCCTTCTCAGTATCTACCTATTAAGGGATTTTTCGAATTCCAGCTTCTCTTCATATCGAGGTTAAGGAGTTTATTAGGAATACTCTCTACTATTGAGAAATATGACATGCAAGTGGTGATAAACCGTTAAAGTCCCAAAGTTACTTACCCCAAAATGCTAAAAAGAGCATCTTCTTTTTTGATTCCTGTTGCTTCGCCATCTCTTCTCTTTATCAATTGCGTGCATACGGCCGAAATCATTTCACTACATTCCAGTGGTTTTCCTATGCGTATTGTTCCAAGAACTCCATTCAAGCTTTCAGATTTATTTATCTGTTCCTTAACTCTTTTTTCAGTATTTCTTGAGTTCATCATTTCTGAACGTTTGTTAAAGCTAACAATCAAGGGTTCGCGGAATAATGATTGTGATTGTTTGCTTTTAGTAGGTAGTGTATGCTCTGCAGGATCATGGTCAAAGGTGAAGGAGGTGGAAGACGCAGAAAAGTGTGCAAGACTCTTGGACGGCTGCTCCTCTTCCGAGATCAGCCTTTTGTCGTTCGAGAAGAGAGTGGACGAAGTTGATGAGGCCGTGGGAGAGGAGGTTGACTTAGAGGCCGAAGAGCTGGAAGATGTGGAACTGCATGAAGATACGGAAGAAGCAGAACCAATGCGTAGGTTTGTGCTCTCGGCAGCCTCCGCCTTGACTGTTTTATCGTCATTCAAATTCGACTGGCCCACCGCGCCCGACGGTTCAGAAATTTGAATGGCCTCTAGACGCAAATGTTCCAGCTTCTCTCGAAGTAGCTGAGTGAACAGGGCGTCATTAGCGTCTTTAACAGATGCAGTCTTCGAGCTTATTTCAGAAGAGGACTTCGGCTGGAATCGGTTGTAATCGCACTGGATAGCAGGCATCGTCCTCGATACACCAATTGCATTCGCAGCCCCGATCCGGAATCCAATAGGATGAATTCGTATACTTTCATCTTCCCCAGTTGATTTGGTACACTTTGGAACTCGCTCCAGACCTTCGGGACTCTCAACGTACCGTCTCCCAACCCTTAATTCGGCCTTTTTGATCAGGAAAAAAAAGAAACCAATGAGCATACAACTAATCATAAATTGAAAAATATTTTAAAATAATTTAAAATTGATAAAAAGCAACAAAACAAAAACAGCTTTAAGATTCTCATATAAGGGTGGAAAGTGATAAGCTTCAATTCATTTTTGTCTTTACCTCTATGAGTTAATTTTACAAATTTGTAGAATCGTCTATCCACTCTCTCGTCACCATAGGTTCTATTACACGTACCAATCAGTTTAATTAAGCCTCAACATGGGCAAACCAGAACAACACGACTCAAAGAATTCTTTTTTATATAAAATGGGTTGTATTGTCACATCATAATTTCAACTTGTTCTGACTATATTAAACCAAATAATAGCATTACCTTCTTTCTGTATGTTCAGGGAAGGCAAGGATTAGTAATGAATGGCGTATATATGACTTGCTTCTGATTGATAATGGGGGTGGTGACGATGGTGGCAATCGCACTAGTGGTAGGATAAGTAGTAGTAATATGATGAATTTTGGTAGCTGTAGTAATAGTGCTATCACTACTAACACTTATACAGTAACTTCTATAGCCATCGCTACCACCAATCAGTTGTGAGTCGCTTAGAAACCATTTATCACTAAGCCTAGGTTATGCCAGCTTCTTCCTTATTACAGCAAAAACAAACTGCTATTACTACTACTCACAGCAGTGGTGCTGGTTGTGGTGGCTGTAGCAGTAGTAATAATAGTTGTGGCCATAGTAGTAGGTGTAGTAGTAGCTATTGCAATAA